GAGAAGACTTGGGATAGGATGACATTGACCACTATTGTCCAACATTTAAAGGAATGTCAAGTAGGAGGAAGATTAATTTTTCATTCCTGTTAAGAAAATATCTAGATCTAGGTTTAATGGAAAAAAGAAGGGAATTTTAAAAAAGACACTTCTTATAATGATTTTTCCCCCTTCCTGACACCCTAAAAAATAGAATGGCCTAACTTTGGTGGAACTAATATTTCACTAGTAAAAATATTACTAGTAAGGAGGATTTTCAGACTTTTCGGTAGAACCTTTGGTTCCTACAGATAGCCTTAAGTGTTTTGTAAATAATTTTAAAATTAAATGCAGGTCATAGAAGTGTAAATTAAAAGAAACATGTTTACCCACATTTCAAATACCAAATTTTAACATTTTGGAAATTATTAACATCTTCCTAATTTCTTTAACTTGTTTTAGTACAGACTTCTGAATCAAGTTTCTATCTGTTCACTTGCCTTTTCTGAGTGCAAGGCCAGTTGTTAGTCTATTTATACTTGTATATCTGCGTGAATCAAGATTTTTATTTATGCTACGTGACCAAAAAAAAGAGAAAAATACAGAAATACATCAGATACTAAGACTAATACCTGTAGCCTCTGATTGCAAATTTTTATGTTCATCAAAAAAAGTTTGTTGTTTTCAGTGATTGATTTCTTCTGATATAATATTACTTGGATCTGTTTGATTTATAGACATCTCACCAGAAATTGTTTGAAAGGGTATTTTACTGCTTAAGTTTCTTTGAAAAAGTCTGACGTAGAGTATATTCAATTCCTTGTATAGAATGTATTTTGCATCTGCCAACTTATCTTTCATTTCTCCTGTCTTAGTCCAAGCCAAAATCATCTCTCAGTGAAACAGCCTTAAAAACTTTCTAACTGGTCTCCCAATTTCCACTTTTGCCTCTCTAATCCATTTTCTACAAAGTAGTTGGAGTCATCTTAAAAATATATAAATCATATCACACCACTGTTTAGAACCTCTGGTTCCTCCTCTTCCTCTCATCTCCAGCATCATTTTGTGCCACCAAATACACAAAGACTTTACTGTATCAGGACTTTTACACTTCTGCTTGGAATGTTCTTAAGTCACATGACTAACTCATCTTTCATGTTTCAACTAAAAAGACATCTCTTTAAAGTAGGGGAGTTCTGGTGGCATAGTGCCTAAGGCATTTGACTGCTAACCAGAAGGCTGGCAGTTCAAACCCACCAGCCATACCTCGGAAAGAAGACTTGGCAATCTACTTTCGTAGAGATATTGCCCCAGAAACCCAAGGCAGGGTTGCTGTGAGTTGGTTTTGACTTGACGGCAGTGCGTTTGGTTTTTGGCTTTAGAGTAGATGAGGAGCTTTGGTGGCACAGTGGATAAGGCATTTAGCTGCTAACCAGAAGGTCAGCAGTTCAAACCCACCAGCCACTCTGTGGAAGGAAGATGGGGCAATCTGTTTCTGTAAAGATTTACAGCCTTGGAAAACCAGTAGGGGTCACTGAGTCTGAATCAACTTGGCAGTGAGTTTGGTTTGCTTTGGTTTTAGAGCTGATAGTGAAAATTATAGGAGCTCTGGTAGCATAGTGCCTAAAATATTTGGGTAGATTTGATCCATTGAACACCAGTGACTGAAAAGCGGAAGAATTATGGGATGACATCAAGAACATCATCCATGAAGAAAGCAAAAAGTTACTAAAAAGATGAGAAAGGAAGAAAAGACAGAAATGGATGTCAGAAAAGACTCTGAAACTTGCCCTTGAGCGGAGAGTAGCTAAAGCAAATGGAAGAAGTGACAAGATAAAAGAGCTGAATGGAAGATTTTAAAGAACAGCTTGAGCAGACAGAGCCATTTACTAGGATGAAATGTGCGAAGACCTGGAGTTAGAAAACCAAAAGGGAAGAACACACTCGGCATTTCTCAAGCTGAAAGAACTGAGGAAAAAAATTAAGCCTCGAGTTGCAATATTGAAAGATTCTATGGGCAAAATACTGAATAATGAAGGAAGCATCAAAAGAAGATGGGAGGAATACACAGAGTCACTGTATCAAAAAGAATTGGTTGATGTTCATCCATTGCAGGAAGTGGCATGTGATCAAGAACCAATGGTATTGAAAGAAGTGGCAAAAAACAAGGCTTCAAGAATCAACGGGATACCCGTTGAGATGTTTCAACATATGGATGCCACGCTGGAGGCACTCATTCAGCTATGCCAAGAAATTTGGAAGGCAGCTACTTGGCCAACTGACCAGAAGAAATCCATATTTGTACCCATTCCAAAGAAAGGTGATCCCACAGAGTGTGGAAATTAGTGAACAGTATCATTATCACATGCAAGTAAAATCTTACTGAAGATCATTCAAAAATGGTTGCAGCAGCATATTGACAGAGAACTTCCAGAAATGCAGGCTGGATTCAGAAATGGTTGTGGAACGAGGGAAATCATTGCTGATGTCACATGGATCTTGGCTCAAAGCAAAGAATACCAGAAAGATGTTTGCTTGTGTTTTATTGACTGTGCAAAAGCATTTGATTGTGTGGATCCTAACAGATTATGGATAACATTGAGAAGAATGGGAATTCCAGAACACTTAATTGTACTCATGAGGAACCTGTACATAGACCAGGAAGCTGTTGTTTGAACAGAACAAGAGGATACTGCATGGCTTAAAATCAAGACGGGAGTGGGTCAGGGTTGTATCCTTTCACCATACTTATTCAGTCTGTATGCTGAGCAAATAATCTGAGAGGCTGGTCTATATGAAGAAGAACATGGCATCAGGATTGGGGGAAGAATCATTAACAACTTGCAATACGCTGACAACACAACTTTGCTTGCTGAAAGTGAGGATGACTTGAAGCACTTACTGATGAAGATTGAAGAATATAATCTGCAGTATGGATTACATTTCCATATAAAGTAAACAAAAATCCTTACAACTGGACCAATAAGCAGCATCACGATAAATGGAGAAAAGATTGAGGTTGTCAAAGACTTCACATTGCTTGGTTCTACAATTGACGCCAATGGAAGCATCAGTCAGGATATCAGATGACGTATAGCACTGGGCAAATTAGCTATAAAGTACCTCTTTCAAGTGCTGAAGAGAAAGGATGCCTCCTTGAGGACTAAGGTGCACCTGACACAAGCCATGGTATTTTCAATCGTCTCATGTTCACGTGAGAGCTGAACATTGAACAAGAAAGACCAAGGAAGAGTTGATGTTTTTGAGTTGTGGTGCTTGTGAAGAATACTTAAAGTACCATGGACTACCAAAAGAACAAACAAATGTGTCCTGGAGGATGTGCAGCCAGAATGCTCCTTGGAAGCAAGAATGGCAAGACTTTGTCTCATCTGCTTTGGTCATGTTGTCAGAAGGGACCATTCCCTGGAGTAGAATGTCATGCTTGGTAAGGTGGAGGGTCGACAAAAGAGGAGAAGACCCTCAGCATGATGGATTGACACAGCTGCTGTGGCAGTGGGCTCAAGTATAGCAAGGATCATGGAGCGAGCGTGAGACCAGGCAGTGTTTCGTTCTGCTGTGCATAGGGTCACTATGAGTCGGAGACGCCTTGATGGCACTTAATAACAAAAGGCACTTGACTGCTAATCAGAAGGCTGGCTGCTCCTCAGAAGGAAAATTGAGCAATCTACTTCCCCAGAGATTCTGCCTTGGAAACCCAAGGATGGGTAGCTATGATTCCCTTAAGCATTCTGGATTAGAAATAGGCTCATGAGCTTTCCTTCACTCTTCTTAGCGCAAGCATTGAGAATTGGATAAGGAAAAGGAGTATTGTTTTGTGTAGCACAGTGTCCTGTCACACTAAAAGCTTTTAGTCGATATTGTTGAAGGTACATGCAAAGTACATGTGTATGGCAATATTGTGAAGTTACGAGGAAGATGAGAGGAACAATCATGAGAGCAAAGATGTCTTCTCGCCATTATAACACCTAATGGAAAGTAGTATATTTAGTATGTTTTGGTTGTTTGCAAATATTTCATAAAATTGGGCCAAAAATGGTTAAATGGCTTGACCAAGGTCAAAGCTAGACTCAGTTTCCATTAAATCCCACAACTCTTCAATACTTAATAATTTGACATGAAGGAAAGAAAATACTGTTAGTTCAAAAGCTGTAGTCATAGAGACAGGTATTTCTTCTTAATAGAACCTGTTTTCCTTAACACTGACACTCAATTCTAATTAAAGCCAGACAGAAAAAAATCTGTTACTCTTTAGCTGTGATAGGATGTGTTCCTGCATTTACTTGATGTATCTCTTTGTAGAGGAGCTCTGGTAGCGTAGTGCCTAAGGCACTTGACTGCTAACCAAAAGGCTGGAGGTTCAAACCCACCAGGCACTCCTTGGAAGGAAGGTAGGGCAATCTACTTCCGTAGCCATACTGCTTCAGACACCTAAGAAGGGGTCGCTATGAGTCAGGTCTGACTCGATGGCACATAACAACAAAAACATCTCTTTGTAGAGATAATGAAACTAAAACTCCTAACACATAAATTTTATTCAGATTTTATTTATTTATTTTCCTTATTCAGTTAAGATTGTATTTATCTTTAAATAGCAGAAAATTTGATAGTAGCTTAAACTAATGGGAGAGGGGTAATTTTCTCATACAAGAAGTCTAAAAATAGGCAGTCCAGAACTGCTTCACCTGCTTCACATCCTTAGTGGGTTGGCTTTTGCCTTCTTGCTTTCTACTGCATGATCCATTCCTCCAGGGACTAGCTGAAAGGGGCAAAGGTGTAAAAGGGTGATGGGAGATGACTGTCTTTGCTAGATGTATCTTCTAAGAAAGTTTTTACATTAATCAGATTTCTTGAGTCTCATTGGCTAGAAGTGGCCACTTGTAGGTAGAAAATGACTAGAGATAACAGTGATTAGTGTATGTATCTCATACCCCCTTTATTTTACTTCCGTTAGCATGACCATCCAAGTACCTAAAAATCATAATAATGAATTGTGCTTTTAGATTTACATTGGTGCAGAAGCATACAGTGGAATTTAACCAGGTGGCAATGGCTAATTCAGATGGATCCGAAGCTATGCTGAACAGAGTAATGACAAAAGATAACATTGGTGTTGCTGTGGTATTAGAGGTCCACAAAGAACTATTTGGAGCAGGTGAGTACAATTTAAAATATTCTTAATAAAAAGAAAAACACCATCAACAGTTTTCCCATTGCAAAGTGAATGGAGAGAATCCTGCTATTTATTACTTAGTTATTTTCTTTTCTTTTGAGGCAAGTTAATGGGGATGGACAGAAAAATAGCACTTATTGCTATGTAAAGTTCATATATTTCTTGGGGTATTAATCACCAGGTAATTTGTGTAAAGAAAAGTCTTAATATGCTATTAATTGCAAAAACTTCTTTGAAATAGGAAATACTTTTTTCTGGACTGAATTTGGAAGTGAATATAACTTGGTTGTTTTTCTAGCCATATTTTTAGCTTCCTGAGTATGAATCTGTGGTCTTCAAACTTGGCACTTTTTCTCTAATTTCTTTGTTATATTTCAGTCATTGTCAAGGTAACAATAGGATCTTCCCTGGTACTTTTGTTTAGCATTTAGATTATTTTTAGCTTCCTTCAGAGTCAGAATTCATTATGTATTTAGCATTTCCCAGACCTTTTCTCCTCCTTTCTGCTGCTTGCTTTTGAGCATTTCATTGTTTACTTAGTATATTTTAAGTAAGACCAAGGAGAAGGTTTAAGATCATGCCTGTTTTTCCTCCCCTGCACTTACTTACTAGCAGAAGAAAAGATTTTTGTCGTCACTATTGATTTGAATTACTCAGATCATCCATGTCTGTCAACCTGATTTTCCCACCTTCTTCAGTGTAGCCATCATCAAAGACAGTCAATTTTTGATGTGAGATTTTGAATTCTTTCTTCTTTTCCATCTTCTCTATTTTTATCTTCTTTTATGCTCTTTCATTTCCACCTTATCCTTTTTTAAAACGTGGTACCCCACTGCCATGTGAAAATTGAATTTCTTTTGGAATTTTACACTCCTTTGAATTTGCAGAACAGTAATTATAAATTGTGCAGTGGCACTTCCATGTTCTGATATATTTATCTGCTGCATTCTTAGGAGAGGAATTTTATTAATATAGAAGGTGTTTATGGCTCCTTTGAATGGGCATATTTTTAGTATTTAATACACTGAACATATTAGTCAATAGCCAAAAGTGACACAATGAAATGTCTTGGGAAAGAAGACAGCTTATAGTATTTTAGCTATAAAGTTTTATCTTAGGATCAGATTGCTTTGAAAAGAGACCATTACTGTCATGTGTGACAGATACTTCAGTTGCTTGTTTTCTCAACTTGCAAGATAATTATAACTGGATAAGATTAGTAGAAAACTTACTTTACAAAAGCAGTAGACTTAGAATATTAGAGGCAGGAAGTGAGGGAGGAGTTGGGGATGAGACAGAGCTGTGAGATCCAGGTAGGGGGAGGTAGACAGGCCCCACACCCACAAGCAGGAAGTGGAGGAAGAGCTGGGAATGAGACAGAGCCATGCAAACAGGTAGGGGAGGGAGACAGGCCCCACACCCACAGGAAGGTAGTGGGGGATACTCGGAGGCAGGAAGCAGGGGAAGGGCTGGGGACGGACAGAGCCATGGGATCCAAGTAAGGGGAGGATGGAGAGGTTTTGAACAGCTAAGGGAGACAAACTTGGCTGTCAGTTTGTCATACTGTGGTGAGTTGCGTGTTGCTGTGAGGCTTGAGGCTGAGCCACTGGTGTCTCAAATGCCAGCAGGGTTGCAAAAGGTGCACAGGTTTCATTGCAACTTACAGACTGAGAAAGATGAAGAAGAAGGAAGAGGCCATTCACTTCTCAAAGAATTGGTCAGGGAAAATGTTATGAATAGCAGAGAAACACTATCTGATACATTACTGGGCAGCTTTATGAGTAGCCTGAAACATTGTCTAATACAGTGCAGGAAGATGAGCCCCTTAGGTCAGAAGGCACTCAAAATATGACTGGGAAAGAGCTGTCTCATCAGAGTAGAACCAACCTTAATGATATGGATAAAGTAAAGTTTTCGGGACCACCATTTGCTGATATAGCATGACACAAATTGAGGAGAAACAGCTGCAAATGTCCATTAGTAATCAGAACATGGAATGTACGAAGTATGAATCTAGGAAAATTGGAAGTTGTCAAAAATGAAATGGAATGCATAAAGATTAATATCCGAGGCATTAGTGAGCTAAAATGGACTGTTTTTGGCCATTTTGAATCAGATGACCATATGATCTACTATTCTGTGAATGACAATTTGAAGATGAATGGTGTGGCATTCATCATCACAAAGGATATTTCAAGATCTCTCCTGAAGTACAATACTGTCAGTGATAGGAGAATATCCATACACCTACAAGGAAGACCAGTTAATACGACTATTACTCAGATTTATGCACCAACCACCAAAGCCAAAGATGAGGAAATTGAAGGGTTTTTTTTTTTTTGTGTGTGTGTGATTGGGGGAAAGTTTACAGAGCAAATTCACTTTCCATACAGAAGTTCACATACACTTTGTTTCATGACATTGATTACAATTTACCACAATGCAACAGCTCTCCTCTTACTTCCTCCCCATAGTTACCTCTTCCCTATGCTCTTCCCTCCATGCAGTCCTGCCCCCTGAGCTGTCTCCCTGTGCATACACAGCCCTTCTATTGTCCCATGATTGTTCTCTCCAAGGAGTGTGTCTACCTAGTGTAAATGTTCACCTCATATGCCTGTCTCTTGTTTGGCTGGAAACCACAGGAGTGGTTTCAATTCCATAGTTGAAGGGCAGCCATGGGGCATGGCCTCAGTGGTTCCATCAGGCTCTCTCAGACCAGCAAACCTGGTCCCTTTTTTTTTTTTTTTCAAATGATTTTGAGTTTTGTTTCACATTGTTCTCCCACTCTGTCCAGGATCTCCTACATAGATCCCTCTCTGAGTGGTTGACAGTGGTAGCTGGGCACCTTCTATTTCTTCTCACATGAGGTACCAGTCGCTTGGACTAATTGTTTCCTTGAATCTTTGGTTTTCTTCATTCTTCTTTGCTCTGGACAAGGAGAAACCCATCGTTGCATGTAGATGGCTGCTTGCAAGCTTTTAAGATCCTAGTCACTACTCGCCAAAGTAGGATGTGGAACAATGTTTTGTGTAGTGTGTTATGCCAGTTGAGCTGGTGTCCCCTGCAACTCTGGTCCCGAGCACACAGATCCAACTATTTGCTCCCTCTGGGTAGCTGGCCATGGCCAAGAGGTGACTACAACCTTGACCCTTGTGAGCTCGACTACATACCTGGGAATTCTTACAGAATGTACCAATACACTTGTAGAAACATTGTCTGCCAGTGCTATGCATGGTCATGGGCACACTCCCCCCTGCATAGACATACCTAATAGTTCAGCCTGTCCACCCATCTTTCCACTCGTATATCCATGTTTGCCTTCATGGACAACGCAGTAGTGTATGTGCAAAAGGGTTCATCTTCGTTGTCTGTACCTCCCATGTCCCTCTTGATGTCTTCCTCTTTCCCAAAGCCACCGTGTTGATAACTCACATTTGGTATATTGCCCTTCTCTTCATTCAAATCAATACTTGTCTCTACCAATCTAACAGTGTGGAAATCGAAGATTTTTATCAACTTCTGAAGTCTGAAATTGACTGGCCATGCAATCAAGATGTATTAATTATCACTGGTGACTGGAATTTAAAAGGTGGAAACAAAGAAGAATTACCAGTAGCTGGAAAATTTGGCCTTGGTGACAGAAATAATGCTGGAGATTCAGTGATAGAATTTTGCAAGACTAACAACTTATTCATTGCAGATACCTTTTTTTTAAGAACACAAACAGTGGCTGTACAGGTGCACTTCGCCAAATAGAATACACAGGAATCAGATTGACTACATTTGTGGCAAGAGGCGATGGAAAAGCTCATTATCTTCAGCCAAAACTAGGTCAAGAGCTGATTGTGGAACAGACCATCAACTGCTCATATGCCAGTTCAACTTGAAGCTGAAACAATTAAAACAAGTCCACGAGAGCCAAAATATGACCTTGAGTATATCCCTCCTGAACTTAGAGACCATCTAAAGAATAGATTTGATGCATTGAACACCAGTGACCAAAAACCAGAAGAATTATGGGATGACATCAAGAACATCATCCATGAAGAAAGCAAGAGGTTATTAAAAAGATGAGAAAGGAAGAAAAGACCAAAATGGTTGTCAGAAGAGACTCTGAAACTTGCCCTTGAATGGAGAGTAGCTAAAGCAAATGGAAGAAATGACAAGATAAAGGAGCTGAACAGAAGATTTCAAAGAGCAGGTTGAGGAGACAGAGTCAGTTACTGTAATGAAATGTGCAAAGACATGGAGTTAGAAAACCAAAAGGGAAGAACATGCTTGGCATTTCTCAAGCTGAAAGAACTGAGGAAAAAATGTAAGCTTTGGGTTGCAATATTGAAAGATACTATGGGCAAAATATTGAATGATGCAGGAAACATCTAAAGAAGATGGGAGGAATATGTAGAGCCACTGTACCAAAAAGACTTGGTTGATGTTCATCCATTTCAGGAGGTGGCATGTGATCAAGAGCCAATGGTATGGAAGGAAGAAGTTGAAACTCCACTGAAGGAATTGGCAAAGAATAAGGCACCTGCAATTGATGGAATACCCTTTGAGATGTTTCCACACATGGATGCCCCACTGGAGGCACTCACTCAGTTATGCCAAGAGATTTAGTAGACAGCTGCCTGGCCAACTGACTGGAAGAGATCCATATTCGTACCCATTCCAAAGAAAGGTGATCCCACATAATGTAGAAATTATTAAACTGTAACATAAGTATTGTATGCAAGTAAAATCTTAACTGAAGATAATTAAAAAATGGTTGCAGCAGTATATTGACAGAGAACTTCCTGAAATTCAAGCTGGATTCAGAAGACGATGTGGAACGAGGGATATCATTGCTGATATCACATGGATCTTGGCTGAAAGCAATGAATACCAGAGAGATGTTTACTTGTGCTTTATTGACTATGCAAAAGCATTTGATTGTGTGGATCCTAACAGATTATGGGTACCATTGAGAAAAGTGGGAATTCCAG